CAAACTCGCCAAGCAAACAGAAACCATAAGAAACTATCAAAAACAGGGTTTGGTTATGATTAAGCATTTTTTGGGAAACTCACAAATCAACTCGATACCCAGAGTAAAGAGTTTTCTTACATAACTTTTCTTCACAAAACAAACGAAAAACTGACGCGTACAACTAGCGCGTAATACCCAAATACGCTAGTACCCTAATACCCCAATACCGTAATACCGTGTGGAACGAGCGTGGGAATGCATGCGTGTGGAATGTGTGTGGAATGTGTGTGAGTAATGCAAATCAGTTTCATAACATGGGTGTGTAGCATTTAATCTGTTAGTTGGATAAATTTACTCGTCGAGTAAAGGTCATCTCTTGAAAACTACAATACCCTAATACCCTAACACCCTAATACCGTAATACCGTAATACCGTAATACCCTAATACTCTAATACCCTAATACCCTACAACCATAGTACCGTAATATCCTAATACCCTAATTCTGAAATGCCCTAATACCCCAATACCCTAATACTGTAATACCCTAATTCTCTAATACCCTAATATCGTAATTCCCTAATACACTACTACCCTAATACCATAATACCCTAATACACTACCACCCTAATACCGTGATACCGTGATACTGTGATACCCTAAAGTGCTAATACTCTAATACCCTAATACCCTAAAACCGTAATACCGTAATACCCTAATTAACCCCAATACCCTAATTCCGTAATACCCTAATACCCCATTACCGTAACACCCTAATACACTACTACCCTAATACCGTAATACCGTAATACTGTAATACTCTAATACGCTAATACCGTAATACCCTAAATACCCTAATAATGTAGTCATGCCCTAAAACCGTAATACCCAAGCACCCTAATACCAGTACCCCAATACAGTACTACCCTAATACCCTAATACCCTAAGAATGCAATGCCCTATTAGCCTAATACCCTAACGCCGTAACACCTAAATACCCTAATACTCTAACTCCGTAACACCCTAATATTCTTAAACCCTAATACCCTAATATTCTAATACTAATATACCCTGACACCCTAATACCCTAATACCCCAATACTCCAATACCGTAAAATACCCAAATACTCTAATACTCTAATGCCTTAATACCCTAATATCCTATCACCCCAATACCCCAATACCCTATTACCATAACAGCCTAATACCTTAACATCCTAATACCCTAATACTTTAAGACCCTAAATGCGGCCTTTTCGTGCCATGCCTAACACCCTTAGGCACCCTAATCTCCTAACCTTAATACGCTAATGAACCAATATCCTAATTCCTTAATACCCTAATACCCTAACAACCTAATAACCTAATACCCAAATACCCTAATACCATAATACCTGTATAGCCTACTTATACCCCAATACCCTAATACCTCTTAAAACTTCTTGAATGCTGACGTTTGGCGTGACGAGTACAAAGGAAACTACAGGAAACAGATCAGTTCTATTTGCTTATTTGACCTAAATTAAATTCCTCCGGCGTAGTGTGGATGGATGTTCTTGACCACAAAAAACATCAGGGCTGAACGGGATTCGAACTCATGACCTCTGCGATACCGTTAGTCTTTCCCTTAGTATTCTTTTCCCAAACACTCACCACTCGCGCCCACTGTTATTTAGATATGGGGAAATTGATCTACGCGTTACACAGCCTTCGCTTTCACAGTACACTTACATCTTTATTAAGTCTCAATCAAGAGCCCTAGAATGGTTCTTTAACCTCGCAATTCTCAGTTCTCACCCGTACTAAATTAAAGAAAATCATTCGGGAAGTGACCTTTTCGCAAGTGAGTCTGAGGAGAGAGCACAAAGAAAACGCATTAAATTATTTATGCCACTCTGAAGAAACAGAGGGGACGTCTATTGCAGACAATCGTGGAGAAGCACCCGCAGGATTGAGGACCTTAGCTAGTTTTAAATAATAAAACGCTGTGCCTTTTATTTGTATTGTTTAGTAGGGAAACTATATTGGAATTACTGTAAGTGTAGGTTATTGCAATTCTATCATTGTAAGTAGTATTAGTTTTGTTTTGGTCTGTTTAGTGTATCTTTGTATGTTGTTCACATTCCAATTAAAAAAATAAAATAAAGCTGTGTGCCTTTGTGTCCAACCAACATGGTCCATCATGATTTCAGACAACTCAGCTCGTGATAAAGCCAGGCCTAGGGCAATGGCACATCCAGCCCTAAATCCATGACAGGTCTCTCTATTACCTGAACCCATCTCCATTAAGCACATTTTCAAATGAGCCTCAGCCGTGGTTGAGTTAGGTGTATCGTTGGGCCACTTCCAGAAACTGTTCTATTCCTTGAACAGGACAAATTCTTGATTGCGGGTTTCTCTTGATACCAAAAACGTTGCTTTCGTCATCTCTCAAAGTTTTACCCAAAACATGATTGAAAAGAAACCGTCATCATTAGGGAATCTTAAAATTTCTGGCACTTTCCCTTGAATTAAAATATGCCTGGTCTATTTTTGCAGATGTCTGTCAGACGTTTCGACAACCTAAGTGGAAGTCTTCTTCGCTGTCAAGTGAAAAGCGATTTCACTAAAAGGTGCTTTTGCTGAACATTAAGACAGACGGATAGATGAATAGCCTTTATTTTAAAACGATGAGCATTAAAGCTAAGATGCTTGTAAGGGTGTTTGGACTAAAAACCAATCATCTATAAACTATAACTAGAAAGACTATGTACAATAAAAATTTAAAAATCTAAAATCAATCATATACAAACTCTTCAAATCTAAAACTACAAATTGACAGAGATATCACCTTGAAATAAAACTCATTAAAAATGTCTGAAGATTTACTTATTTACATCTATCTTTTCCACTGTTTACAGTATCTAAGTCTCGATAAGTCCACATTTTGCCATAGAAGTTGTCTGCTCAGTGCTGGTTATGTGCTTTGAAGGCTTTGTTCCACGAAAAGCTTCAGCGCATCTCTGCTTCAGAATTAATTCCTTTCTACTTTCATACTAATTAACTTCAAGTAAAACAATCTGTAGAAAATCTGAGAAAATGCAATGTGATCGTTCGCTACTTTTTTCCCGCAGTATTGGTGACAGGTCAAAATGCCTCCAAGACAAATCACCCCAGACACAATGCCCCTGGGATTTTTACTTAGAATGAGCTTACTTGGATACGTTACATAAGAACGAGGAATATACAGCCAGTTGTTGTTGTTGTTTTTTTTCATGATTTTTCCTTGCAGGAATTGTTTTCATACGCGAAGTCTGGGGTGTTTCGTCTAGGGGTGTTTTTGCTCGGTTCCCATACTATTTTGTGTAAACAAAATTCTGGATGGATGACTTGAGTTTTGAATCTTCTAGGTGTGAGATGAGGTCGTCTACCACAGTACAGTTGTAAGTAAAAGTTGTAGAATGATGTCTCTTAACCCAGTTAACTGCAGACTGTGTTCAAATGATACAAGGCATTCTGTGCCGCTTTCTCGTGCGCGTATGCCTTTGTGGGTCCCATTCCACTGCACACTGTCGGTGGCCTGGTATCAAGCCTCACGAAACACATGTAGTTGCCGCTGTAACCTTTTTCAGGCAAATCGTGATATTTTACAGTAAAGCTGGAGGTTTTGCCTCTGTCTTCAAGTGACAAGCGAAACTCCTTGCTGATGACCTCTTCAAAAACAGGTGGTGGAATCCCATGGGATGTTTCCTCAGAAGTCTGCTCATCTTCACGTTCCATTTCATCATACAATGGACTTGACAAAAAGGGAACTGGTGACTGGGTTTGACGGCTGGTAGAGGCACTAGGTCCTGATGGAGGACTTACTTTAGGCCACTTATTGGAAAAGTTCTTCAATGGGCTTCCAGACACTGGGCTTGTATAAGGTTCATGCGGAGGAGAACTCTAAGCAAAAAACAAACAACACCATTTCATTAAATATCCGCTTTTAAAAACTGGTAACACAGTTTCTTATTACAGCCCGGAAAGGTGTAAAAATTGTTGGCCAGTAGGCTTGCAAACAATATCTAAGTAACAACTGAGGCACATTTTTTTCGTTGTTTGGAAAACAAACAGTGAGAATACACATCCCAAGCTCTAGGAAGTCAAAAAAGGCCAGTGTTTTATGCAGCTGTACTTACTTTAACAGCCTCACTGATCATGTTTAAAAGATTCTCTGCAGCAAGTTTCTTGGCTGATTTTTTGCTCTTTCCTTGTCCCTGAGCAATCCAAGATTCAACCTGGAACACGACAGTGGCTCAAAATGAGAACAAATAAAAACACAGGTCCTTCAACAAACAAGGAAAATATGATCAGATTGAAAATTTTGTTGTCATCATCATGTAAATGTTTAATTCTTCAATTTTCTCGTTTTAATTGTTAGACTTGATCTAATGCTTTGCTTTTTAATATTATAGTTTATTTTATAAGTACTGAGATTTATCCACAGAGATGACAGTGATGAAAAAATCGTTCTGTTTTTAGTCGCAGCCAATCAGCGACGCGAACGATGAAATTTCACTAGTGAAAACTCATCGTTCGCGGCGTCTGATTAGACGAACGATGTTTTTCACCAGTGAAAAGTGATTGTACGGCAAGCCACGTCATCCTCCGTCATCCTTGGCGCGAAAACTGGCAGGCTGCCTTTTTATTTTCAAGATGTCGGAAGGTTTGTGGACGTCGGTTTAATTGACAATTTTATTGCAGAACAAGAAAACAAAGCCACATTACAAAACACACAAGATGTAAAACTTTTGCAAACCTTTTTACGAACCAGGAATGAACTTAGAAAAGTTGAAGAAATTCTAGCATTGGAGTTAAACGAATACATCTGCGAGTTTATCATTTCGGTCAGAATCGAACCAAAGATGGGAAAGACTATGAGCCTTCTTCGCTCCGAAGTCTATTGGCAAGTTTTGAACGACATCTAAAAAAGAACAGCTATTCTGCCAGTATCATGAATGACCTCGTATTTGAGAAAACAAGAAAAGTCCTCCTGTCCAAACAGAAAGAGTTAAAGAAAAAAGGAAAAGGAAACTTCGATAGCTTTGAACAGTGATGAATTGAATACGCTCTACGAAAAAGGCCTCCTCAGTACACGAAATCCTGAAGCGTTGTTAAACACACTCTGGTTAAACAGCACTATGNGCAAGGGCTATGGGTCTAATTGCTAATTATTATTATTATTATTATTATTATTATTATTATTTTTATTGTTATTGTTATTGTTATTATTACAATGAGCTAAAGAAATGCCAAGAATTTCAATTTTAGCATGGTTGCAAAAATATAGGTTCCACAATTAATTTAAAGAAAGACTTTAGACACAATTGAATGGTTCTGACAATTTTTTTGATGGTGTGACCTTTCCAGGAAACAAAATTTTATTGCCAAAGGAGATTTTTTAGAGGAATTTCTCAACATTAATGCATGTCATGGTAACTGGCATCACCCATGCATTGTGTTTTAGTTCTTCTTGCTGGGTCAATAAAAACAAAACAGAGGCGGTTTCAGGCAGAATTCATATCTAGCAATGGAAAGTATCAAAAAGATGTTCTTGCACACACTGCAGTGATTTACAGCAAAAGGATTACACAGCAGCAGCATGATCCACAGGAGCTCAAAAGGAGGAGGGGCAAAGTAACAACTACTTAATCTCTTTCTTCATTCTATTTTGTCCTCTCTTATTTGATGCTTCCTACTAACCTTGCATTCATAAATGAAGGTCTTCATATGTGATTCTCCAGTTTCACGAGCTAAGTCATAACTTGGTGGAGTCCAGCTGTGTTTCATACACATTTCTTGTAGTGCACCAATAGGGTTACTGTCTGCTATGTTTGCAGAATCTTGTATATCCCTACCAGCTGGACTTAAAGGAACTCTTGTTGGACTAAGTCTTGCAGCTTGTGATGATGTATGGCTTGGTGACATCTGCAAGAGATAATGTTGAAAACTAGGTCCACTGTGCAATGTGCAAACTGGGTTTTGGTCTTTAATGAATAACCAAAATGCTCTGTTGGAATTGGTTATCATATCTTGTTTGTGAATTCATAGTTCATAGTACATGTTAATCAAACTTTGAACATATACCTACACATGGCATAGTGTGCATTCAAAACAAGTGTGCAAAATAATGTTTGACTTACTTGGGAGGTGACAGGAAAAAATGTACTGGCCAGTGTAAAAGTTTTCAAAAGAAATGAAAACAACTCATTTAACTTTTAAAAATGCATGGTACCCCTACATCTTGTGTTAAGAAATGGAGGTGGCAAGCCTTAATTCAACAGGTGATTAGTTTCTGGTTGTGAGGAAAAGATTTTAGACTGTATTTTAGATAAACCAGAGGAGAGTTGTCAAGGATGCTAAAAAGTGCTGTTACAACAATTTTGTTATCAAAAACATACCAAAATTGGTTCTTATATTACCATTTACCATGCAGTTTAAAGATCTTTAGAAATGTGTTTGCTTTTCTGTATGTAAAGGTGAATTCTACGGAAATCTCTGAAGAAATGTCTTCTCCATTTACAAAAAAAATGCTGATGTCAGCATTTTTATTTAAGATTCAAGGTTAATTATCACAGAAAAATGAGTGGCTAGCACAAGTTTTCTTTTTGGATTCCAATAGCCCCTGCTAAGATCTACTTTTTTTCCATATGGTCCTAATTTGGCAAAAATACCTTTGTATTTAGTAGGCACCATCGTCAATGATGGTTGAGTTCAAAGAGTTTTCTAAGATGCAAATAAGGAGTTTCCATTACCTGGAATTTATAATTTTTATTGTATTAGTGCAATTAAAAAGGTTTCCAAGCAACTAACTTACCAAGTGTTATATTGAAAAGGTAAAAGATGCCATCTTAATTTGTTTTGTTAACACCAACATCAAAATTCCAGGAGTTTTCCAGGAGTAGGTGAGGAAAAAGGAGTTTTCCAAGGAACTAGAAGAAAATGTTAAATTTCCAGGAATTTGCCACAAATTTTCCTTGACTGGGAACATTGCGAAGTACATTCTTGGGCAATACACTACTCTCAAAGTGCTACTCACCACCCACGTATATAAATGGATACTGCTAAATTTAATGCTGCGAAGTAACCCTGTGATGTACCAGTATCTCATCAGGGGTGGGGGGTGTAGAAATAGTCCTAATCGCTTCATGTTACAGAAACCAGAGAGATAAGTGCTGGCCTGATTGGCCACTTGGCTCATATGCAGACTGTGCTTAATCCTCCATAGGAAAAAAGATGGTGAGTGGTACATTTATCCATAGTTCTTAGCACACGAAAACCTTAACAATGTTCATAAAAACGCACAGAAGAGCTATAAAATCTTCAAACCTAGCATACACAACGTCCTTAGTACAAGGACAAATATTGTAAAAATTTTGCTTTCTTTGTGTCTTATAGGCTGTGTTAGATTCGCAAGGTATTGTGGTAAACTGTACAGCCACCACCTTTTTTCCTACGGTGGATTGCCTTTTGTCTGCGAGAAATTCTACGCTTGCTTCGAAACTATAGTGTTCTCACCTTGGATTTTACGGGTAAATTTGTACTGCCAACAGTTCTGCCTCTGATAAGTTCTAAAGCTTGGTCAGCAGCCTTTACTTTGGCCATTTTTTTATTGTGTCCTGATCCTCTGCATTTCGTCAGACGTCCAACTTTGACCTCACATATGAAGAGTTTCGTACTTGAAAGCCCCAATTCATCGACAAAATTAAAGGTTACCGTCTCTCCAACTTGAGAAGCAGCTTCCAATAAAAGGCTTACAGAGTTTTTCGCGATGTTTTCGGGAGATGATACAATTTCGTTAATCTCACGTAATTTGCTATCTTCCATTATTCAGACTGAAAAATGTCCCTCTTTCTCAATGAGCCTTTGAAAACAAATTGCTTGAATTACAACGAACGCACCCATAAAATAAGTTTAAACGCATTACGTTGATATTCCGGGAAAAATCGATAATATTGAACAGGCTGTCCTAGTACCCAAGCTCTCATAAAACCGACTCGTTGATAGCTCAAAGGATGTCGGGATATTCTTCCCTGACTCGTGTGCGAAGCTGACAAGATGTCGATGCTCTCGGCGGCCGCGTTGTTGGATGAGTTAATGGGGGTCGATAGAAATCGAGCCCCCAATGAAAAAAAGACTGCATTGCATTGGTCAGATCCTCAGGTATTTATAACTAAGCGTATGGCTTACTGCAAGTTACTTCTGCCCTATATTTTGGTTCAATCCTTCTGATTTGATATCTTCGTCTCTTACATTGAAAATTCTTTGAAGGTTTGCAAACACTTCCTTTGTGGATTCTGCCCATCTCAGCTTTTTGTCAATACAAGATCTGACCTGGGTAAGTATAAATATAGTAGCAGAAACTCTTTTTAATTTATGTTGTTGGGAAGGAACCTTGAGCTGTCTAGGTACTGTCTCGCGGATCCGCCATGATTGCCAATTACTAAATAAGCGCTTAGATGGCCCCTTTACTCATTTCACCTCTTGTTGTAGCTATGTATCCCCTACTACTCCTTTGTGCCATGAAATATGAAAGTATCTTTCAAAAATGGCCCCGTATTCTGTAGTTCCTGCTTTTTACCACATCCAAATTAAAGGTAGTTTCAAGCGATTTTATTTAGACAGTGTGCCCACCAGAATTTTGTCATTTGCGGCTCAATGACCCATTTAAAAGAAAGAATGGGTTGTTGGAGTTGAAGTGCGACAATCAAGCATGAGCCATTGCAGGCAAGCACTCCATCTGCCGCATTTTCTGTTATACATAAACTTATCTTCAAGGTGTTACTGTTTATCTAATTGTATCCTTGCGATCTCAAGGCCAAACGCATTTAGCCTTTGGAGGGAGCTTTCTTGATATCCATGTTTTTTATTTACGTGGTTATTTGGCTGTGATTGTTATGTTGAATGAGAAATGATACGTTCAAATGGAGATTGTCTGCCAAGGAAAGATCAACTTGCTACAATGTTTGGCTTCCTTCTGTGCTCGTCATTTATGATTTAGCTGTGGTAGTGGCATAAAAAGCAGTCGAAAGACCAGCAAAATAATTAGCAGTTCATGTAAAGATCACTACACAAAGAGAAAGGAGAACCTACTCACATTGAGAAAGCTCACAGTTATGGATTGGTGGATGCAATGGCCAAAAATATTATCACTTTTATAGGCTAAACAGGGCTAAAAAAAACCCTGTCCGCTTGTGCAGGACAAGTATATTTTCCTCTCGGGCAAGCAACTTTCTCTCCTCAGTTTCCCCATGGAAACTAAGCTTTTTGAAAGCTCTCTTCTAACCAGAGGAATTTGAAAATGCAGGCTTTTTGTTTTCTTGTGGACAGAAAAATTTTAAAAATGGAGTTTTTGAAAATGATGTACTCATGGTAATCCATGACCAAGTTTTCTTTAAACACACATCCAAAATGACCAGTGATTGTTGCATTTTTAAATTCCTCCAGTGTAGTATGGACAGAAAACATTTGATGTATTTTCAGAGCGAAACCTATGTTTTCAAATTCCTCTGGCATAGTTCGGATGGGACTTAAGGTTTTGAGTGGTCAACAGACATATTGGATTTAGTCCCCTTCTCTGTGACATGGTTGGTAGTCATCCCAGGCTCCATACACATGTTGTTTGGTTGGTCCACAACACCTCTTAAAAAAAGCTGCCGTATCAAACATACTGACCCAAGTCAGCGATTAGGGATGTTTGTGTGAAAATTTTCCAACATTGATTTTTTTCTGAGACTTTTACCACTGTAAGATGATGTGTTAATTATGTCAGAAATGTAAAAAAAAATGGGGGGGTCAGTGACTTCGTTTTGGAAAGAACATGCCCGGAAGAACACCATAAATCTGAAAAAATCGGGCTTCATTAGCGAATGAGGCCACAGTGTCTGTAAGCCCAAAACTGTCGCAATTACAGATCTTTGAAGTGAAATGTTCTCTGCCAAATATTGTTTAAGTGGACCTATTAAGTGAATTTAGTCAACTCCTGAGGTTCCTTAAAGAACAAGTTTGCATTTAGCAACCATAGTTTCATGCGTCTTGCAGCCGCAAGATGGCAGGATTTGATTTCCCATAGACAGAAATCTTGAATTTTTTTTAACTTCCTGCATTGATTTTTTGTTCATTTTTGGACAATGTGGAGATAATTGTAAATAAAATCTGTTTCTGGAAAGAAAAAAGGGGTCACCGAATGTCCAAGATCGTTAATTCCAGGCAAAGCTATAGCAGTGGCCATCTGCCCTATCATTGGTCATTTTATTGCTTAGCGTGCACGCTCATGCATGACGTGGCATGTGAAATTGCATGTACGGTAAGGATGCGCAGAAACAATAAGCGCGAACGTCCTTAAAGTGCTACTGAAACGAAATTTTCATACTCACTTTTGTTAGCCCAATCTATAGTTTCAAACATGCTTTATTTCTGTCAAATCCCAAGAGAAAGTACTTTTCTTAGCTGCTGAAATCGACTTTTTGGAGCAAAACTGTGTCCGGGCTCTGGAACCGAGTTAAAGGACCTTGTGACATCACTGGTTGTATTCACGCAGGAAGCGCTATAGATTTTCTCTTGTTTTCACTAGATTTATTCAAGTTTATTCTTCATATTGTCGATGCCTACTAGTTTTCTACCTTGTAATTTCTGTCCAGCCTTGACAGCCTGAGGAAATACACATTATAAATGTTGGAGGGCGCCAAAGAGTGTAGATTCACCAAAATAAATGCTACAGATTTGAACAGCTCAGTAGACTTATTGAACATCTTGAGTACTCGATTGGAGACTTCAAAGACGAGTGTGGCAACTTTTATATCACGTCCTGAAGCCTAAACACGATATATCATCATCTGTTTTCAGCCTGGTTCTGAAATATGGATTCTCGCATTTATCTTAAGTCTATAACAAGGTTCGAATATATCCTCAGCAACTTTACTGCATTAAAAGTGGTAAGTGCATCAGCCATCCGCACAATCAGGAAGTTATTAATGGCTCACAAGCTTTGAGTCGAGTACTTCTTTGCACACAGAGGGCATCTTTTTATGATACTAATAAGTGAAAGTTGTTGTATCAGTGTAAACAGAGCGGGAATTTCGCTTCCCTTTTACACGTATCTCCCAATTGCAATATTTCACGGCTGATGGATTACTTTGAGTTCTTTAGCGCATACTTATGTCTATGATCTTCATTTAATAGTATCCAAGTTCAAAGCAGTGCATTAAAACGTCACTAGTTTACACTCCTTTAGATCGAAGGTTTATTAAACGGAATTTGAACTAATTTGCATATATGACCTTTTGCCGCCGACATTGTCACGCTTTCTCTCGTTTCCTGAAAATATACTTGTAGGGTCATGGCAGCTTAGTTTACCATTATAGTTTTAAATTTGCTACCTCCATATGAGAGAAGAGGGTTCCTTGAATTGTTGCTGTTGTGATAACTTGTAGGATGTAGCAGATAGAACTGGACTAAAGGTCACTGTAGCACAATCTTGTCCGCAGTGAAACTGACAAAGCATCCAGTTTCCTTGAAGCGAAGTGACTTGAAAACTCGAAGCGTTGTTGCTGTGATTCATGCAGCAGCACTCTGGATAATATTTTCAAAAGCCACCTTCTCTTGTTTTCATGTCTTTTTTACTTTATGGGCATAGATATTGTTTAATTGAGTGCTGGCCATTTGACCGAGTGTCCAGATCATTTTGTGATTTAAGAACTCACACTTGTTTGCTTGCTTATATGAAATATCCTGGAAATATCCAATAAAATAGCCTGAAAAGCTCCAGGATCAACTCTCCACCTCTTCATGTCTAAGGCTACTGTTATTATCTGCTTTACAGCTCTGAGATGTCCTTAAAGTGCCACTGAAACGAAATTTTTGTATGTGAGATTTTTGCTTAGTAATAAAGTTTCAACCTTACTTGGAAACACTGCAAACTTTTTTTTCGCATACGGTAAGCGAAAACTGCTTTTTCAGCCGTTGGTTGAAGTTGGCTGGTTAAGCCCAAAATTGGCGGCCATTTTGGTGTGGCCAAAACAGCCTAGTGACGTCACTGGTTGTATTACTCTCATGCTGCACTGAAAATTTAGAGTGATTATGGGAGAAGAGATTACTGTTCGAAGCCCCCCAAAAAAACATCTTAAGGACATCTCAGAGCTGTAAAGCAGATAATAAACACAGAAAGAAACACAGAAAGAACTTAAGCAATCATACCTTCTGGAGACAAAGCAGAACATTTTGCTTTGTTTATGACATAGTAGTCAAGCCATGGAAAACTTTCTTTCCATGATGGATTAAAAGTTCTCTTTCTCTGAGTGCTCGCTTTCCTGTTTACTGGTACTTTCAGTTTCAGCTCTTTTCCCCTTTTTACATGGTGGTGCCTGGCAATTTGTCAAAAATTGCTCCATCTTTCAATCGCTTCAAGTGCGATCGACAAGCAAGACAAAAAAAGACACCAGAACATGATAGGTTTATGCCTTCTCTATTGGTATTATCATTACAATTTAAACTTTCTTGTTTTTTTAATCAACTGTGAACTCGAGTAAACTAATTAATATAATCTCTTTCAATTTTTCTACTAGCCAGCGGGCTATTAAACGTGGTTTTTTACTAGTCCGACCAAATTTTTACTAGCCTTGGGCTAGCCTCAGGCTAGCCTCAGGCAACTGGGCTTGCGGAGATGTCGAACCTTGAACTGGCAACCAGTTCTTAATATCTCACTCGTTTTTTGGTTGCATTGGTGACCAATGAGTCGCTATTTCAAGCCCTGTTAATAATCCTGTTTTGTTGCAGGACCTTGTGAAAAGGCACACGATGAAAGATTGAGAAAAGAGTAAGTGATTCACAATGCACTGAAGTGTACTTGTAAACATTTCTATGAATGAATGTTCAACAGGTTTTTTTACTCGTGTAGAATTGAACCTTTCAGTATCATCACCAGGGCCGGGTTGCTCAAAAGCTGGTTAATGCTAACCCAGGATTCAAAGTTAACCAAAGTATTAATTTTTTGCATAAAAATGTTTTTTACTGCTCACGTTTTGCGTAGTTTGAGCTCATTCAAGCTCAAAACTGAAGGGCAGACATTATAAACAGAAAACCTCACCGAAAAGTTACAAAACTGAAATCAAAATTCTCGCTAATCCAAAGTTTGCTTAAGGTGGCTGAACACAGTTTTTGATACCTGTATTTCATTCACCTTTTTCTCTAAAACCCTTGATCTCACAGTCGCCAAAAATGGCAGCAAGAAAGTTAACAACACAAACTTTGGTTTTTTGGATGGTTAAGCTGACGTATGTGCCGTTGCCATGGCAACATGAATATAAATAAACAGGCCTTTAAAATCGGTTTTGTTTATTTGTAGAAAATCTAGTCATTAGATTTTCTTTATAATNAGAATTTTCTTTGTTAAAGTTCAATTATTTTCAATACTCCAGTTACTTATTTCCTAAAGTATTTTCGTGCCAAATTTCGTGAAATTCTAATGAGTGGTTCTTGAGAAATTGGCGTATTTCCGAGAGTGCAAATTTCCATTGAATCGCAATTTTTTGACTTACTACGCATGCGCTGCATTTAACTGGGTTCTTTCGGTAACGAAGAAAAAGCTGGGAATTGCTGGGTTCTTTGCATCGTTACCTTGTCTAACATATCTTTGTGATGAAAGACTAAAGTCATCAATACACTGCGTTCAATAATAGAGAACAATAGCACAGATGCTGCAGGTGTTGAGTAAATAAAATGATCGCTCTATTGATGGCATGTTTTTTTTTTGCAATCCTTGTGCGCGCACTGAATTGCATCAGCAAAAGCGCGCGTGAAAACTGTGTTCCGCCACCTTAATCAGGCTTTGAACAACCAGTCCAGGGCTGTAACCCATAACACCTGTTGCAGCTGATTATGCTTGATAGGCTGTTGAGGTTAAGGTCAAACTTAACTCTTGATTTAATTCTGAATTAAAAGCAACTTTCACTGTACATATTTTTAGGATGACTTTTGATAATCTTTATCGTGATCTCTATAATTTTATTAACAAAGGCTTTCACAAGTTGGCTTGTATTGTATTAAGCTCAATTTGTGGTGTTTTCACAGCTAGCTAAATCTTAAACTATGAATATGTCGCACTGAATTCAGTCACAGTGTTTGGATTCAGAGACCTCAGCGAATTCTGTTTTTTTTGTTTTACTGTAACTTGTTGCTAATCATTGCCTTAAAACTACTTGTCACATTCTTTTTTCTTGTTTCTCTGTCAATTGAATTAGATATGAGGCAAGTAGTCGCTACAAAAAAATGAGATATGAAGAAGAATTTTTGAGGTATCTCCAAAACATTATGGCTGACGTTGACAGACGAATAAGAAGAGGGCATGCCAGACTCAATCTCAGCCGTGCCGAAGAAGAGAAGGTCAGTATTGTCCATTTTAACAAAAATACTCTCTTGTTGAGTGTGTGATGGCCAGATTTAAAAATCCAGGGCACTAGACATTAGGCCTACATTCCTTTCATCTGCTATAACCCATTGATCTTGTGCAACCTGCAAAGAAAACTAATTTTTAGGCTCCAGACAAGCTGCAACTATTATGTACTAATCTGAACATTATTCTCATTAGCCCCCAAAATTTGATCTGTTGGGGTACTTCTATGATTGGAATTTCTCTAAAATGTTCGAAGAAACTTCACTCAACGGTCAGGCAAGTAAAGAACAGAATCCACTAGCCCGATTGCAAAATCCACTAGCCTTGGGTTTTGGACATGACATTCTTTGCACACTGGTTGTATCAGTGTTCTCCATAAGCACTGGTAACTCTGACTAGTTTATTGTTTAAACAACAATACTCTGACACTCTTCCTTTATAGGAGTTGGCAAGTGGTAAGCCAGACAGTGAAAAATTCAAAATGCTTACTGAAAAGATCAACTCATTGCTAGAACAGGTGAGCAAGACATACTGTACATGCCTTGAGTGCATTTATCCTTAATGTGTTACCTTCTAATAACTCTTGGATGAATGCCACTGTTGTGTAGGCAAGGATGGTACCACATACTAGACCATGAGTACCATGGAACCCTGTTTACATGATCACTGATAAAATATGGTCATCGTGGTTCAAAGCATGGTACTTGTTACATTGTTGTATTTCAAATGATGGCATGACATATAATTGATATAATTGACATCTAATTTGAGTTTAATTTGATTAATGTGAAAATGAAGGGTGGACACTCTTGTTGTTAGTTTTGGTAACATTGAAGGCAAGCCCAAAGAAAATAATTGTGCTGATTGGTTAAAAAGGATGTTTCTATTTAACAATTGGATTATGAATTTATGACCTCAAGACTTCTATCGCGTGATAGTTGACTCGGGCTGTGCCCTTCTCAACTATCATGCATAGAAAGCGAGAGCAAATAATCTAATTCTTTTAGTAAAAGTCTACATGTACTAGGCGTTTGAAACATGATCTTAATCCTCTTCACAGACACTTCAAAAACACAAAGAAGCAGCCATCTCCTTGTTAACAAGCGCACACTACTACGCTACTCGCTATCCACAATAGAATAGATAGTGAGTAGCGTAGCCAATCAGAGCGCTAGTAGATTTATGCTAAAACTTGATAGAAACACAGAACTAGCAATGATGAGCTGTTGACATAATGATGTCGCAAGCAAAGGGAATTTACATTTTGATGATCAAAGTACACAAGGTGTTTCCTTTTTTTCCTTTGTGTTGTTTTCTACAAGAAATAACAAAACATGTTCTTCATATTTCTATCTACTCTTGGTAAAGAAACTCTCGTGAAAATGTGTGAAAAAGTTCACGTGTAATAAATTACAGTAAAATTATTTTACTGTGCCCAAAAAATTTTGATAGTACCAAAAAAATGTTACCCACTGTCACACTGCTGTTTCTTTGTTGAAAACTATTAACAGGGTGAGCTTTGGAAGGAGTTGCACTGTACTTGTAGTCTTTTTTTCTAAGTTTTTCTGTGACACCACAAGAAGGGAAATGTGAGAGGACTGAGAGGTAGACAAAGCGGTGAGCCCTAAGAACGTTTAGAAAAAACTACCAATCTAGTCCTTGGTGATTCAAAAACTTGCAGCCAAATTTTTAAAGTGAAATTCCCCACAAACAGAGTGCAGATATTCTAGTTGCCCTCTGTTTTAAAAAGTTTTCGAAAGCTAAGCTTTTTTAATGGAGTCGCATTATGATAGTGGTTTTTGAGAGAACAACTTTCAAGTGCATTAGATGAGCACCGCATATTCTATAATCATTCACATAGAAAAATGAAACAATCACTAGCGTAAATACATTTTGTCTGCAGTATTCGCATAGATTGGCCAAGATTTGGCATCTTACTCACCTAGAGGAGGTGGGAGGTTTTTAAGGGCAATTTTCACAAGTCTGAGACATGCTTCACAAGCTGTGCTTTCCTCCATCAACCCTACTCCAGGAACTGCCAAGAGAGTTTGCTCATATACATGTACACGATTGTTAACAAGGTTTCATCCAAAGATCTTGAAGTTGCATTAATTATTTTACCCATGCTCTTAACATGCTGAACATTTTATTGGTCACAAAAAATAATGTATTCTAAGATTAATTTGGGTTATTTTTGTTTAGGAGGAAAGTTTAAAGTCAAAGTAATATTTCTCTGTTATTGATGATCATAATTTGGCCGCACTGTAATCCTGTCTTTACATGTACAGTACAATATTCTTGGCAACTTGCAGGTTGAACAACTGGGCTGTGAAGGAAAGGTAGAAGAAGCTCAGGGTGTTATGAAGTTGTGTGATCAGCTGAAAAATGAGCGAGAAATGCTACAGATGGTGAGATAAAAGTTGTCATACATTTTACAGTTTATCATAACCTTTCCAATAGTCTAGCAATGATACAATGTACTTTCACATGTACTTGTTCAGAAATACTGTACCTTGGTTGGACCTGTTTTTGGTGAATGGCTAGGTGTAGTAAAATGTTTATAGTGTTATCTAAGTAATAATATTTGAAGAGTCGTACATGTATTTGGGTTTCATGAGTTTCAGAAGGCCTACAGTGCATTAACATGAAACAAACTCAGCACTCTAGTTATTGTTTTGCAGCACCACACAGCTAAAACGTGGCAGTCAAATGATGAAACCAATCAAAAACTGCGAGACGTTTCAACAAAACGTGGGAAAAGTACATGTTCCTAGACCTCTAACCCAAATCATTAGCTGAGACAACAACGTGAATTTCAGCAGGCCCAATACAAAGTTTCAGCCAGTAAACCCAAATCAAGGTTACAGAGTGTAATCATTAAAAACCATGCAAGGAAACTTTATATGCCATTTGCTTTGTTTTACAGCAATCACGTGATCTCAATTTGATGTCTGCTCAAGAAAAGCAGATGGAAGTTTGTGAAGTTTGTGGTGCCTTTCTTATCATTGGTGATGCACAGACGCGTGTAGATGATCACTTGCAAGGGAAGCAGCATATGGGTTATGCCAAGATCAAGAGTACTATTGAGGAACTTAAGGTATCACTTGACTTAGACTTACAGTGCGACTACTCCAAGTTAATGATTTGGTGAATTTCTGATGCAAACCACAATAATTGTTCTCTCTCCTTATCTGCCCAGATTCTTGGATAAAATCTCTCATTGTCTTTTTAACTGTACTTTTAATATACATGTTGAGCTGACAAAAAATAGCCCTGAACGTACAATAACATGGTATCTGAATGAGTGACAATAAACAACAAATCACTTCAACAAATAATTTACTGAACTAAAACAGACAAGAAGTGCGGTTGTTATTTCTGTTTGTAGCCAGGTACCCTTTTGGCAATGTTCAAGTTAGGTGAGGTGTCTGCTTGCTGTTAATATGTGTCTGAGACCATAGATATTGTCCACTGTAAGTTCATGAACCCTATACAAAACAGTTAAAAAAAACATATCACGCCACATGATGTCAATTTACATTTTTGTGATGGCAAGAATCCTTAAACTGTTAGTCCGCCATGGTTGAACTAAGCTATTGAATGAGGTAACAACGTACTAACAGGAGTGGAGTGATTATGAACAATAAAACTCAAACAAGAATAGGTTTTATAGCTGAGTCTTCTGCCGTGTAGCATCGCAAACATTCAGCTCTTGTTTCTTTCAGCAAAAGCGAAGTGAGAAATCTCGTTCAAAATCCAGAGACATTGTGGAGAAAGATGCAGATGGTGATAAAAAGCTGGATAGGGATTCAGAACGAAGCCGTGACAGTGACCGTGACCGCAGGAAAGACCGTGATAGAGATCGTGACCGCAGGAGGGATCGTGACAGGGACCGTGAACGTGACAGAGACCGTAATCGTGATAGGGACCGTGATCGTCGAAGGGATCGTGACAGAGATCGTGATCGTGACAGAGACCGTGATCGTGACAGGGATCGTGATCGGGACAGGGATCGTGATCGGGACAGGGACCGTGACCGCGATCGTGACAGGGACCGTGACCGTGAAAAGGACCGTGATCGGGATAGAGACCGCCGTCGCGATAAGGACCGTGATCGCGACAGGGAACGAGATCGAGACAGAGATCGGGAACGATCAAAAGAGAAGGAGAGGCGGCGAGACAAGGATGACAAAAAAGACAGAAGTGAAGACAGAAACGACGAAAAGGACAGTGACAATGACTTGGAAGACGAGAAAAAAGCTGCAGTCGACAAGATGGCTGAAGAAAAAGAAGGCTCGGATAGGGAGGAGAAAGATAAGTCCGTCAGGTCTCGTAGCAGGTGAGTGTTCACTCTTGAGGTCATATCATAATTATGTGACGAGGAATGATGATATCGCTGATAGCAAGGTTTGTTTCAAACTCTGTAAGACGTTTTTGTGGTAAGGGTAGCGAGTCTGGCTGTTTATGTGCCGTGAGCTGTCAGTAAACAGCTCGGTGACCATGTCTATCATGGCGTATATTGGAGGATCGCAACCTAAGCAGCATTCAAAGCTACATCACAGCAGAACGGAACAACAAAGATTGAGGTACCTCATTCTGTTTTGATTATTCAATTTCACTCTCCTCAATTCATTGTTTGTGCTGAGTGATGGCAGCAGATATCAGCCGGCAGTCGCCAAGATAACTGGAAACGCAAGGTACACGTTCAAAGATTTCCACATTGTTCTTTGTGTTATGTTGAATATTGCTTTCAATCAAGCTCATCAACCAAGGATCTACCTGTAAGGTAATTTTTGATGTTTTTGAAAATAAAATTGTCGTCTTCTTCCTCATGCTGAGGTGAAATCGAATTAAAACTTTGACCGTCACTAAAAAGGATCAACCTTCGGACAAGTGTCGTTTTCGCCTCTCAAATCGAGTGGCAAACGTTGCAATTTAAGACATACTTTCTTTTGTCCATCGAGACAAACGTTTCTGTAAAAGGCCATGGAAAGTGGAGCCGTCGCCACAGCACCGGAATTCAAGGTACCCGATTGTTGTCGCTTTCTGTGTCGATTTTGGTCAGGCTTCAGTTTATCGTATTAAACCAACTTACGTTTCCAGTGAATCAGTCAGTATCCTGTTACAAGGAGATCAATTGTTTCATTGGCCGCTCTCAACAGGCGGAACAGCCTCTCAGGTAGCCTTGTGTGAAAAAGTCGTCAACTTGTAAGAGGTATTCTCCCAGGTATTTCAGATCATGATGTGTTGAAATAACTTGTATTGTGACGCATTTCTGTGGGTTTTCTGAGGGCCAAATAGAGGAATGATTCTCCAAAACATTATTACGCAATGCGCTTTAATTACACGTAATATGGTAATTTATTCCTGAACATTTATTTGAGTTACATGTATTAACTATTTCTTATCAAGTTTTGCTACTTGTTATTTTTGTTTTTCAATCTGCCTTGTTTTTCCGGAAACTTGGAAAAGTGAGGTTTAGTTTTTCATGGGAGCTACTGGAAGCTGATTGTACTTTTGAGAGGGGAATTTTATTTCCGGCTGGGTATTGTTTGTTAGTTATTTTTTCATCAGTCCAAATGGCCCACAGGCAAACAAAAGTTAGTAACAAGGCATTTGAAGAACTCCCGTCTTCTGACGTTCAGTCTCGCCATCCTCTTTGTATACACTGTGAGCTTTGGGCAGTTCTCAGTTTTCATGCTTTACTAAATCGGCTAACCTTTTTGTTTTAACATTGTGCTTTTATGCGGGGGAATGATCACTGTTAAAAATACCTTGACAATGCAGTCTTACTGACTTGTTGTAGATTAATCCGTCCATTAGAGATTGTTAACATAACTTTGCACCTCGCTTCAGTTTCGAATGTGACCCGTTTGTTTCACTATGGCTAAGGATGGTTTGATTTCTGTTTCTTGAAACCTTAATCCTCATATGTCATTCACAGGTCACGTGAGAAAGACGACGGACGTGAAAATACTGAGTCCTCGCCCCGCAAGAGCAGATCACGATCCAGGTCCCCATTGTAGTGCACCTGTACAAGAAATCATACTGCAGAGCTCACAAGAGAATGAAAGCAAGCTCTCGATTTTTTACTGAAAAGTTTTCATTTCAAATAGGTTAGTTCTCAGTAAAATTTAAAAAAAAATTGAGTCATCTTTTGTTTCAATTACAATGATTTCATTTATGTGGTTTTAAATGTGTTGTGTTGTATTTAACATTCATACACAGAGACTTAGAAACACATTGTAAACTTCCTCATCGTAGTGCAAAATGTGAACTAAGGCCGATAACCGCTCACACGTGTACTCGTATCGTTCTAAACTTCACTGTTTAATCCACTGAAGATTTGATACGCTGTATACAGGCTATCAGCAGTCGCGCTGTTTTTCTTAGACTTCATAGTGTGCCTACTTGCTCGCTTGACATTCTGTGATGGAAACTGTTTGGAGCTTGTCGTGGTTTTTTTTTTTCTCCTATTCAGTCGTCAAACCGCCATGTTGGATGATGGAACCGTTATCTCGAACAGAGAAGTAAAACAGAAAACTTCACAGGCCAAGAAATTCAACATGGCGGCTCGATGGATGAATAGCTGAGACTGTTCACAGTCTGTGTTATCCTGCGAAAACATCAGGTTGTAACGCACTCCGGAATAGACTTGCTGATTTCGTTTGGTACTTATGAATGAGCCGGGATAATTGTTTTGATTAGGAAAACTGGAAGTCATCAATTACTGTAAACTTTTAAATCAGGTAAAGGGCTTTTGTTTCGCAAACTCAAATAAACCATTTACTTAAGCAAAAACTTTGGAATTGTGTGTGTGAGACTTCTTTGTTACGCTTGGTATCACGATTGTGGAAGTCATCTTGACCGGTAGGCGACATGCATCAGAAATTAGGCCTGCCAGTTACGATGGCTTCCAAAACCGGGATATAAAGGTCTATAGAAATCAACGTTGAAGATACACTGTATTTATCCCGGATTAGTTTTCTCCATCCCGCTATTTTTTTTTACTTTTAATCAAATTTTGCTTTTTACAAACTGTATCCTAACGAATCCTTATTTCAACAGTTTGTGTTTACAAGTACAGAATGAAATTCGCTTGCTCTGGCTTCAACGTTTGTGTTTACAATACAGAATGAACTTCGCTTGCTCTGGCTTCAACGTTTGTGTTTACAATACAAAATGAACTTCCCTTGCTCTGGCTTCAACGTTTGTGTTAACAATATAGAACGAACTTCGCTCGCTCTGACTTCAACATTTTCTTGCAAACATAAATTTGTGAACTGGGTCACGCGTCGCAAGCTGACCCAAGTGTTTTTACTAAGCAATTACCTCTGGCAAGAGAAAAAAACTGTCGTGGTTTCACATACTCTGCATGTATAATGCTGACAGTGTTGTACTTGGCTTCTTTAACTGAATTGAACAACGGACAAAATAACCAAAATCGGAAATACAAATACAGTGGAATCACTATTTTTCGAACCTACCGGTTATTCGAGGCTAGTTTTTGTTCCCTTTGCAAAAATACAAAGGTAAATCTTTCGCACCAACTTGCGTTTCCCTAGGTGCTTCGATAAATGGGGATTCCATTGGTATCGTTCTTGATACATTGTACGTGTGAACTTCCGTGAATTACGGAAGTCGCGGGAGTTCTTTTGTTTTGACGTTTTTAAAGATCAAAGAACTACTAATGCGAAGGAAAATCACTAGAGAGACAATCGGCATAGAGACTACTTAACAATTATTCCAGGAGCGCGCATTTGATATGAGGTGATAGATAACCGATGAGCCGCGTAACGCCAGTTGGCTTCAATCATCTCTTATCCAACAAGCGCGGGTGGAATAATTGTTTTACTGAAAACGCCCGCAAAATGAATAACATCATGCGTACGTTTAGCATATTTGTAGAGCGTGGTGGATAATGCAATTCGAGAGTTTTCATTGGCTTAGCCATCATGGGTTATGATCCATTATACCATGCTCTACAAATGTGCTAAGCGTATGCGTGATTTTTTTGAGCTACTAATATGGTTTTACATGTAGGATTACCATATTGTGGTTAGCAGGCAAAGCTTGTGGCTTCAGATCATCTCAATTAAGGATTGCTGAAGCTATGAATTTCTCTTCGACTTTTTCTGGCCTGTTCTGAACATATGTAGTGGTCACTACAAATCAAACAGATCTAGTAGGCAATTCAAATCGAAGAATCCTTTATTGACGTTTATTACATGCTATTCTTATATAGTTGTTCAATTTTCTATGATACGAGTACAGTATGGAGATTTGCAAATTAACCCTTGTTCCATTTCCCATAGGTTCAGGCCATTTTGGTTTAAATCGGATCCAATAATAAAGAAACTTTATTACCCACGTGTTAAATTCCCCGTTTCCCGTGTTTTGATTTTCCGTATCAGTTTTCATGCGACTTTCAGCTTCTTTGGAGCTTCATCGTCCTTCGCTGTTTTCTTTTTCCCAGATATCATGTATCTCTTTCTGCGCCGTTAAATGGACGCTTGTATTTTCCCAGGTTGTTTTGAACTACACAGCCTGAAACGTCAGTGGTCTCGGCGTAATTCCCGGGCCAGAGTCTGCATTAAGATGTTCTTGTTTCCAATCTTGCAGGTTTCGTTCCTCGGAGCTTTATTTATTTTCCGTTCAGCATTTGCATGCATTAAAATCCCTTAAAGCGTTTTTATGCGATGATGGTCCACGGCTTTCCCACAAGTCTAGCATGCCGTGGATTTTCATTGTCAGTCTCCGTTATGGAGGGCCTTTCCTGGTGAGGTGTTGTCTCCCTAATTTTGCCCAGTCTCCACCGCAGGATACTGTGTGCAGCAGAACGAAACGAAGAATCCCGGTCATTTGTTGGAGTTACCAGACTTTCTTCAGTCGCGAAGAACCGAGTTTTCGTCTTTGTAGAAAAGAGTGTAAGACCAATACAGATCAGTTGTAGGCGTCATTTTCAATGCATCTAATCTTAGAGCTGGAGTTTCAATCTGGTACTCGGGGCCTGCCTCGTACATCTCTTTTGAGAATGTCTTGGAGACTGAAGTCTGCAAACTAAAGTACAGTAGCAGTTGTTGATAGAAAATGATAAGAGAAATGTTGAACGAAACACTAAAGGGGGAAGATATATAGATCAGTCGAGGAAGTTAGAAGGTCGAAAAGGGATCTGGCTCCATACCGTATGGATATAATCAATTGAACGTGGTGGAAAGAAAGTTGTTTGAAAGAAAGCCTGTAACATCAATGGATAACTTGAAGCAATGACCGAAACAAACTTTTTAATTACAATATCAGAATTGCGTTTGCACCGAGCTGTTTGGACAGCTTATTACTCACCCATTCACTCAACGTCTTGATTATCAACAAACATGAATTGGTTGATATATATGTCCACTGGATGTTTGTGACCTACTAATCTATACTCAAGCTTCATTTTCACAGTTCTTCGCGAAAACTGAACCACCAATCTCGCAAATTTCGCGGTTAAATTTCCCAAATTCACTTAGTGATATGTCTCTTGGATTACTTAGTGATATGTCTCGACTCTTGGAGTAAAATGGTAACAAAACACGCTCCATATAAGGTCTTGGAGCTCAGCGTTTACAAACTTTCGAGTGTCTAAGCTGTATAAAAACTCTGTCTTTGAAGGAGTTGAGCCATCCTATCTTAGCTGGGCGAGGGCTCGTCCACTATCACGCGTTATTGTTCACCACTAAATTTTATACGATTCTTATTGGTTCAAATCGAGAGCGAATGATCCAATTGTTTTAGTATAAATCTACTAGTCGCACAAAACTCTTTCTCCATCTTCCTCAGACACTTGAAAAACGCAAACTGGCCGCCATTTTGATGACAACCGCACACTGCTAGGCTACTTATTACATTCGCGATAGGACGTTAGTAGATTTTTACCACAGTACAATATGATGCTGAAGATTATGCACTGGTGCTAGGAACTTCTT